TCGTCGCCGAGGATCACAGAGCAGGAGAAGCAGACGCAGCGGAGCGTCTGCGGCGCGGCGTCCGGTGCCGGTCACTCCTCGCGGCGCGGGGGCGGTGGGCGGCGGGAGGGGCGGCGCGCGGCCTTCATCGTGTTTTCGAGGAAGGAGACATGGTACATCGGCTTTGCGAGCTCGATGTGGCCAAAGTGGCCGGGGCACTCGTTGTGGTCCATGCCGCAGGTGGCGCAGTTGATGTAGCGGTCGATGGAGCCGAGGCGCGGGTCCATCAGCCCGCCCTGCACCGGCTTGCCGTTGTCGAACGTGCGGTCCGAGGTCACTCCGTCAGGCTGCATCACAGACATCGCCTTGATTTCGTCTGGGCCGAGGATGCCAAACTGCACGCGCTTCACCTTCTTGATGTCGGCCTCGCTGTGCATGAACATGGCGCCCGCTGCACCACGGGGGGGGGCGCGCGGCCCGACCCTCTGCCCACGCGCGGCGCCGCGAGTTGCCAGCGGCCGAGCAACAGGTCCGAGCCCAACAAGCGGCGCCGCTGTGAAGAGCTGTTTGGGGCTGTCGAGAGGCGTTTCGACACCGAGATAGTATCGTTCAAAGGAACACTCTTCAAACTCGTGACGCTGTTCACGCTTGCTAAGTTAGGTAAGGTCAACGTCGGCGGCGGGGCCACGCTCTTGAGTCTTGTGCTACATACACACACACAATAAATTCTTTTTCCCCTGTGCACACACAGCGCCGTTCGCACAGCCGCCACCGCCCTCGCCGCCGCCGTCGCCGCCACCCCCGCCACCCTCGACGCTGCCACACCGTCGCTGCTCCCCGGAGCACCCACGCCCTGACCCTCGCCACCTCCGCCATCGCACCCGCCCTCCCAGGGTCCGAACCCAGGCGCCTAAGCACCCCATCCAAGCGGCAGTGCATCCTGCACACACAGCACGAGACCAGCACGCCACCCTGCGCGAGTCCCACCACGCGCCAAAGCCAAAGGTCGCGCACGTCCGTGCGGGTCAACCCGCGATGTAGTCCCACTCGGAACGGCCCCGAGAGCGGAACGGAATGCCTCCCTGCACACTCAATTCGTGGCGCCACCTACGACCTCGCGCGCGGCGATTGTGAGGGGCTCAGTCCAGAAGCCTCGGCATCTTTGCGCTTGGCGCCGTCGAGGTCTCGGGCCCCTGCTCGCGGCCGTCGCCGGCGTCGTGCTCGCCCGAATCGAAGACGCTCCGCCCCGAAGGGGACGGCGGCGGGGCCTTCCGCTTCCCGTCCTCGGGCTCGGAGTCAGACGCCTCGTCTTCGGTCTCGGGCTCGGCCGCTAGGCGCCGAGCGCGCTTGTGCGCGAGCCGCAGCCGGAAGTTGATCTGGTAGCGGTCTTCCTTGTTCAGTCCTTTGACGCACTCTCGCAGCCAGAGGACCGCCTTCTTCCCGTTCGGATGCTCAGCGAACTCGTCGGCGAAGATGTCGATGAACGTCCGCCAGGTCATATTCGCCCAGGGCGCCAGGGCCATTGAAAGGACACGGCAAAGTTTCGCCGCGAGTCGTCTCTAAAACGCCAAATTT